TAAATTACTAACCCACTCACTGTTGAATGACAAACCTACCCACTATTAAAATTATTATAAATCTACCCTCTCCCAATCATTTCGGTCATGTGCAAATTTAAATCTCATGACTATGAGAAAAAACAGAATGGATAGGAAATCTGCAATTACCAAATTGGTCATGGTTTGCTTTTTCAGATCAAAATTTGCATCATATCCGATTGCGTAATTGTGAAGTGCACTTCAATAAATAATTTACGATCATATTTACAGCTGTTTTCATAAATTCTGGATAGATAAAAATTTTTTCGTTTAGTAGTTTACAAAAAGTCAGATAATTCTTGGGACGAGATCGAAGAGGTTTCGGAAGACAAGAAAATTTTTAGATATCACAGAATTTATGAAAACATTGTAAACAAGATACAGTATTCAGGTTTATTAAACCTTTACACATTACTTGCACTACTTCATTTTAGGATCCTAAATCATACTACGTTTATTAAAATTAAAAGTGGCTCAGAAAATATTTTTGGTATACCGAGATGCTTTAATAAATTTATCATACGAAACTGAAAGTCAAAGTAGTACCGAAGGCCAAAAGTCTTACCAAAATCAAAAGTCTTATCAAAAAAATCAGAAGCTTTATCGAAGCAAGACTGAGAATGTTAGGTCAAAAAAATAGGTAAAATATATATATATATATATGTCTACATTCTGTATATTTTGTTTATTTCGTTGTTTTGAAAATCTAAAAGCTAAATAAATTTTTGAAAGGTTTTTGAACAGCATTTATTGATTTCTCTTACATTTTCAAATTTGTAATTTTATAATTTCAATAGTAGGTATGTTTGCGATATTAACAGTAGTAGTGTTCCGCAAAAAAAGAACCGGTTGGAACCGGCATTTTTAGTAGGCATAAAAATAGTATTTCACTAAAGGTACCCAAACTAAACATTGTATGTATGATAATATGGACAATTTCACACTAGAAAAAGGCTTCACTTTGTATCTCCCGCATGCCTGTCATTAGTAGTAAGTCTTCAAAGTCACCGGACCCAGACCCGGGACCGAACCGGAACCGAAAACTTTGAAGGACTTTGAAGGCCTGCTACTGGTAACAGACAAATAGAAAATACAAATTGAAGCCCATTTATGGTGTAATTCTTCCTACACTGTTATACATACTATCTTCAGTACGGGTGTCTTTTGTAGAATACCACTTTTATGCCAACTAAAAATGCTGTTTTCAACTTCTTTTTTGCGGAACACTAAACAGTGGGTAGGTTTATAATTTTAATAGTGGGTAATCAGTAGTAGGTATGTTTATTATTTCAGAATTGGGAGAGGGTAGATTTATAATAATTTTAATAGTGGGTAGGTTTGTCATTCAACAGTGAGTGGGTTAGTAATTTA